ACAATAATAATAATAATAATAATAATAATAATAATTAAAACAAAGGCTTATTGGAGCTGTTTCCGCTCATCTTTCCACAGTCTTTTCATGTCACTCTCTGGAATCAGATTTTTCAAGAAATACTGTGAGAAAAAAAAGAATAACAATAATAATAATTATAATAATAAAAAGCATCTGGAACCAGCTCAGAAGATTTCTAATGCTTTTCAGCTTGACTGACTTGGAGTGCATTGACCACACCGTTTATATTTTCTTCAGGTACCTACAAGAAAACAAAAAGAAAAGTCACATCTTTAGAAAAAGCCAGAGAAGGTCAACAACGGAGACAACGCTAAAACCGTTCCGAGGACCCAGGTATCGTTGGGCACCTCAACTCCTCCGACAAAACCCGTCTGAGAGACAGAGCTACCTTCCAGTTCAAAAGTGTTAAGAAGGGTTTGCTGATGCCCCATATGAGCAAACCGCCTAAGCGACGGCTGGCAGTTTTGCCGTCTAATATGGTGTCTACTGGTAGGGAGACCAACTGGTTGGGTTTACTCCTTCCCTTCCGCTGTCCTTCTTCTCCTTTTCCTCTCCTCTCTTTTCCTTTCCTTCCTTTTTTAAAGCACCTCCTCTGGGTGAGTGACACTGACCCCGCTGCTGGCTGCGTTGCTTCCCTTCTCTCTCGCTGCATCCTGGCTGGCAGATGGAGGAGCAGATACACCTCACCCAAGACCGCCCACACAGTCAGGCAAGAGAGAAACATGACAGCCCTGGAGACACTTCACTGCTCCAGCACTGGATCAGGCTGCAGGGGGCCACAGCCCACCCAAGTAAGCACCTTATTTCTTGCAATCACCAATCTGGCTTTCACAGAAAGGTGATGCCCAGGTAAAGCTCCAAGACTCCTGCTAGTTTACGCACCACCACAAACATGCAAGAGACCTGCTTCCTGCCTCAAAGCACTTGTACACCAGGAGATCACTAGTGCAAGGTGCCCTGGGCTGATGGATTAATGCAACTACATGAGATCCCATGAGGCTGTCAGGGCTTCTTACAAGCCTGCGACCCGTGACTGTGGGTGGTGAGACCACACAGGGTGACAAGGGGAAAAGCGTCAACAGAAGAGGACTGCCCATCTGCTGGTGGTGGGAAGACCCAGAGAGCACACAGCAGCACCCGAGTTTTGTTATCCTATCTTGCCGACGAAACTTAACCACGTAAGAACGCCCATAATCAAAATTACTACTGTGTCTCTTTCATACCTACTGTAAGAAAGTATCCCTTGTAATAGAAGATGCATGTACCTCGTTCTCAAAGCGACTGTCGTCCACAGAAAAGAATATCACAAGTAAAGTTACATCGGACAGAAAAGATGCTTCCAACCATTATATAAAGTCAAGCAAAACACGCAAGGCACAGGCAGCTAACAGCTCTTGAAGGAGAGGAAAGTGGAAAGGAGACCAAGGGAAAAATAAATTATCTGTGAGCTGCAGCAAGAAGCCAAAAAAATTCATGTTGAGTTGAAGAAGAGACTGCCTCTTATGCAAGGTATGGGAGTCCTTTACCAGAAGCACAATACCTGCATTCATCAGACATCCTTTCGAGTTCATACAGTGGAAACACAATTGCATTGTGACTTTCTACAAGGCTTTTAACAAAACTCATGAAAAAATACATGAGAAACAGCAAGAAGAACTTTCAATTTTCCCGTGGAACAATGCAGCCACTAGCTCTGATGATGTGAGACCAAAGGTCAGCCGAGAAAGGAAAAAAATAATCTTGAGACAACCGTACAGCCAGCTCTTCCCAATTAAGAAGCAAGCCTCCATCGTATGAAATAGGACCACGAGACAGGAGTCTCTGCTGCTTCTCTTCCATCATTTTCCCCAGTATCTTGCAGATTAGAGCAGAAGCAGCTGTATGACCGCTTGCTTCTCCTGAAGATAATGGGAAAAGACATAGGAATCAATTTTGCAAAACAAATTTTCTCAGCCATCCCTAGCGGACCTCGAGCCTCTCTCTGCACCTATTCCTTCAGTGCAATACAGAAGCATGTGAAGGCAGAGCAGGTCAATTCTGGCCCACTGGCTTTGACGTGCACGGATCCACCTCCTTGCTTACACAGACTGGTAACTCACTGCAAAATGCATGACTCCCTTGAAGTCCGAGCAACGCTACCAATCACACACTGAAGGAGTGCGCTGGATTTTCTCCAGGGCAGGGGTGCAAGCAGTTCTGATTTGTAGGACATGTCCTAGTTTGCCACCAACGGAGAAGTCCTACCTGTCCCTCTGCCCCTCAGAAAAGATCTCTGTACTAGTGTAACTGGTGCTACATGTCCGCTTGTCAGCCAGAGGGTAGATCAAAGCATCTACCGTGAAAGGCAAAGTAAAGCTCCAAACTATGTCACGGACGCTTCTTTAGCTTCAGCCTTATTAGATGCAAAATCCTTGTGAAGAAGGGCAACACCTCCGAGAGCGTGAGGCAGTGAGAGCAGAGAGCCAGCTGGAAAGAGGAAGAGGGATCTTCTCACTAGCTCTCTCCAGACGTACCCTAGGGGGAGCTGAAACCACAGCTCCCTCTAGCCTGACCCGACGTCACCCAGGGGACACACTAGAGACCTGGAGGGTTCAGCCTTGGCACTGTCTCCCAAAGGGATTTCTTCTCCAGCGCAACTCCTAATTACCAGGGCCAGGGCAAACTCAGCTGTTTGACTCAGCAGTCACTACAGCTGCAGCATCCCAGGAAGAGCATCTATTAACACCCAGCGCACATAAAAAGTTCAACAACAAAAACCACCTGAAGATGCATGAGAGAAAAAAGATCAGGTCAGAAGGGAAAAACAAGTTTTTACAAAATACTTTTACTGGTTGACAGCAGGTACTGAACAACCTCAAAGAAAGAGAGGGAGGATGTAGAGAATGGACTCAAGAGGCACTTAAACCTTGGGAAATTTTGCTAGAAGTCAAGGTGTCTGGGGAGCAAAGAGGAAGCGTGAAGTTAGGGAAATCACGTGAGAGTCTATGGTGAGAGTCCTGGCCAACAAAACCCATCTAGAGCAAGCAAGAACACAGCCCAGCCACAGCTTCTGGAGCAAAGTCAGGTATGGGAGTGCTTGAAATGCACGAGTATTTAACACATTTTGGTAGGAAATTTTGACAGCTAGAATAGTACTGCTCAGGCATTTACAACTGCAAAGAAAGAAAACAAGAAGTCGCAAGGAAAATGAAAAAATACTGATTCAAGCATGGAAGATCTGCAGACCTTAATGCATTCCCCCAATGACACCCTGAACATCTGCTCAGAAGCCGAGAACTGCCGGTCTTAGATGGAGCAGGTTGAGACACATTTAAAAGGTGGAGCTGCCTGCAGAGTCATCACAATTGGATGGCACCATTTTTAAATGAAATATCTATTTTAAGCAGCAGAGCTTAGCTCTCCAGATATTGCTTGACAATTAGAAGTACTCTGCACCCTCTGCCCTGCACGGAGCATGCACCTGGGGCCACAACAACAGGTAGGAATGGGAGGCAAAGCTAACAGCATTGATTTTAAAACGATGTTTTATTGGCTTATCTTATCAGCACAGTTAATATTCAAGAAAATAAGACAAACACATATAACACTTTGACCTTTGCTATCTGAGATAATATTTACTTTTACTCTACACATATGACCTATGCGCTGCAAATGGTTTATGCCAACTGTGAAAAACTGAAGTAATTAGCTGGAAAAAAAAAAACAGTGCAAAAAGCCCCTTGAATTCATTGGAACTTTTACAGGTCAAAAGTAAGGCTTGGGCAGTGAGTTTGCAGTGATGAAAGGAGAAGTATAATGCAAACAGGAAAGGGCGCATTTACAAGAAACAGAATAAAAAGCCTGGTTCTGCCTCAAAAACACCTTCGCTTGCTGTGCTGCCATGCCCTAAAGGGAGCTGGGAAAAAGCCAACTTTAGAAGCAGTCTTCAATTGAGTGAGGGGTAAAACCCAAGGTGAGACCACCACAATGCACGTGGGCCCGCGTGCCCGCAGGAGCCGGAGGCCACTGCTGCTACGTGGCTCGTCAGATCCACTCCTCTATGCTTCCACCACACGGTAAAAAAGACTGTTTAGGCACCGCATGTTAGTCCTCTGACTAGTGATTTGGTGATATAATAATAATTATTGCTATTTCAGCAGAGGTCTGATTTCTGGAAGCAGGGGGATGCTGAGCAGGCTGTCCGTGGGTCCGGCACGTACGGAGCCCCTTTTGTGGCCAGTTCCTCCCAGAGCACGGCAGAGCCTCGAACCTGCGAACTTGTTTGAGAACAAGTCTCAAACCCTTGGCTGTGCTCAGCCAGGCTGGGTTTTTTTTTGCCAGGAATAAACCAGTTCAAACCCTCACAAAAACCAGATGTGCTCAGCAAGGCGGGGAGCGCAGCTCCAGCGGGACCCAGAACTGACTCAGGTTTGCAACCACAAAAATGCACAAAAAGAACAACCACAGAAGGGCCTAGTGGCACGCTCAAACACTCCAGAGCCTTTGAAAAAGCTTCTAAAAACGGGCAAAGAATGCAGGTATGCTAACTGCCGCAGCAAAACAACTGAATCCACCTCTCTGTAGTTCCTGCACACCATGAAACAGAAACAGCAGCGCCAACCGGGGCCTCCCAGGCGGATCTCAAAATGCAGAAGATTGGGGCCACACAGGGACCGAGAGATGAAGGCAGAGGTGTGCTCTTGGGAGACTCTTCAAAATGGTCCCCCTTCCTGCACAAAGCCACCCTCCTGAGAGCCTGCAGCCCCGACCTCACTTGCAGGGAAACGGAGAGGGTTTGCGACTACTTCTACTAAAAGAACAGACAGCGCTGCACCAGAAGGGACGGCTGAGGGCAGGTCATGAAGTCATCACCTTTGCTGGTCTCTAAGGAGTGAGACCAGCCCTTTGCAAGAATGACGCTCGCTGACCTGGGTTTGCCTTGAGGTAGGGCTGGACTCGTTTCAGGAGCCTCTGGCACGGGTAGTAACCACCAAAAGGCTGTTTATTTGGGAGTGCCGGCGCTCCAGAGGGAACGGGGCACTGCGGCCTCTGTGGCCTCGGCCCCAGGCTGCTGCCAGCGCCAGCCTAGCCCTTGCAAACAGCCTGCTCCTGTCCCAGCCCGACTTGCTGCGCTAACCCGGGCTTAAACACAAGGATGCAGCAAGGCACAGCAGATAGGAGCAGGCACGGTCTCACCCTCACCCAGCCTCTAATACACCAGAAACTTTGGAGCGAAGCATCTGTGCTGGGCCACGTCGGAGCAAAGTCCCTGTGGCAAACTCTCCTAATGAGAAATGATGCTCTCACCATCATTTTTCTCCCTGGAAAATGAATTCCCCACCCTCCCCAAACAAGCTATCCTGATACTCACCAACGCGTGATCAAACTTAAAAGTACTGATGTAATAGGCTGGGATGTCGGCCGCGGCCAAAGGCTCAGAAATCTGAGCGACAATTCCACATTCATCTGGAGGGAGACAAAGAATAACAGTAATTGTCCCAATGGCACCCGTCGGTCGCCCCGGGCCTCGCCAGCACCTCGCCAGCGCAGGGAGCAAGCGGAGGCCACCACTAGAGCCCACAGCCTGTGGAGCAATCCTCACGCCACAGGCTCCAGGGGTACAATGCCAGGGGTTTGACTTCCCTGTGGGATCAGGGGAAGGACTGCAGTACAGAGCCCACTGGACAAAAAGCCGTCTTGTATATATTTGGTTTGTGATGTTTATGCATCAGCAGCAGAATCCGGCTCTTTGGGCAATCACAGCGCGTTGCACAATGGATTTTATCGCCTCCTTTTTCTTCCAGAGAAATGTACATCTCCCAAAGGCACAAAACATTAGAACTGGAAGGATTTTCAAAAGTCCAAAGAAAGGCAACTAATGAGATTCAGGATGGAAGCATCAAAAACTGCCTCAAACAGCCAAACTCATTTTTCTCTTTAGTTGCTGATATTAAACTATCTGCCTCGCATCGCCGAGAGAGGAGATGCTGAACAGCTGTTTGGCCTGGCCACACGATTCCCGGGCCACAGACTGCCACTGCCACTGAGCCCGGATTTCATGGTGATTTAAATGGTTCATCTGTTCTGTTCTTTTGAGACCAGTCGTACATTGTTTCCAGGTGAAATCTGAGTTTCCCTGATCCAAGTTTACCATTCTCACTCAATTCTAACCCAACATATTTAAACGCTGCACATTTAGGAGACTGGCAGATGTCCTGACGTCCCATCAATGAAATATGGCATGCCATTTCTACATATTTTGCCCCGAAGATGCATAAAAACAAGGTGCACGAAACTTTCCTTCTTTTTATAGACCTAGGAATTGGCTACCGAAATTAGTTTGCCTGGTGTAGATGTCTGATGAACAATGAAATAGGGAACAAATATAAAAATTGGCCAAACATTTTTCAGGGATAATTAGTTTTCTTGAAGCCTGTACATTGGAACAGTTTCAGAGACCGATGTTTTTCATGGGAAGGATCCCCAGTGTTTTCTGAAAACCAAGGCTTTGTTACATTATTCTGACTGGAAGCCTTAGAATTACAGGGGACACAAAAACAAGTCACTTCTGCAGATGTGAAACATTTGCTCTCTGCTATTTCGATCCAATAGTCTTTTGCTTAGAGAAAACGTTTGCAGCTCTGGATTTGAAACTGAGGTCCATGAACAGGGCTCCCACTTGGACTGCTATAAATCAGCACCAAATCTGCCAAAGCTACAGAGTCATCCAGGATTTGCACTGGAGTATGACAGCCCTTTCTGACTCCTGGTTTTAGTAATCTAAAAGCATTCCCATGCTATCTTTTAGGCCAATTTTTCTCTTCAAGTAGAGAGTTAGCTGTAGCTACTCCCCAAGTCCAGCAGATGAATGCAATTTAGACGGCACTGTTGAGCACGTAACACTTTCAAAAGTCTATTTAGAAGTCTGACCTATTAGGTAGGAGTCAGACTCCACCTTTTCGAAAATCTCAGCTCTCAAAGTCATGTTAAGCTGCTGGCTCTTAAAAGGCCCCAGACCGGCCGCTGCACGTTTTAGCATCATTTTAGAAAACCCCACGGTGACTGACTACCTGTGCACCAACTGATCCCCCAAATGTTACCTACCGAAGCCAAGCGGCTGCCCACCAATCCGCACCATCTTCCAGAGTTCGCCAGATGCACTTGTAAACAACAAATTATTAGGAAATCTGCAAAAGAAAAGGGAACATCAAATGTGGCAATTAAAACACAGCAGTGGGTCAAAGTCTGCCGGTGGGGATGCTGCTGTTCCTATATCCCCATGCTGCTTGAAGCAAACAAAAGCAGCAGCAGCAGCTCAGTGAACATGCAAGAAGTCAAGGCAAGTGGCACAGATGCACCTGCCTGCCCCTCCAGATGTCCTATGGTAAATACGCATGTGACGCTGGAAAGTCTCCATAAGCACTCAGTGAGGCACAGAAGAAACTTGCCATGATACCGGCTATGCCCCAGCTTTACAGACCCCAAGACTGTTAATTTGACGGCTTGATCCGAGCTGTGTTGTAGGAACACCTGGGGACAGAAGATGCTTCCCCCCCACAACTTTCTGAGGAGTGTGAATAGTGACCACTGTGTTTGCATCTGAGCGTCTTCAGTGCTTTATTTCCACCACACCCCTGGGAGGTCCTGTAGACATCCCCATTTCTTGGTAGGGAAAAGAAGACCAGAAGCAAAGTGACTTGCCCAAGGTCAAGTTGGCAGTCTGTGACAGAAGGAATTGGCTCCCGGGGCTCCCCAAGTATCAGGCTACCGCTCTAACCCTTGAAGGCAGACAGAGGTTTATTCCAATTAATGTTGAAGGGACTTTAGAGAGCCAAACAAGTCCTTAGGGCAGGCAACTATCAAAACCAAACACAGCAACGCATGTTAAAAAGCAAATCCATGAACTGCATCTCAGTACAGCATCCTGCCTAGCCTCCAGAGCCCAGCGAGCGATGTGAAGCTGGAGAAGTTCATACACACGTACAGGCTGATATTTGCTCCCTAGCTGACTTTTCGCCTTGCCAGACAAACGAGTCACGAGCTCCTGCTGCACAGGGATGACTCAGTACATTACCATCTCAACGAGACTCCGCACCAAGCCCAGCCATGTGTGAAAGCGAAGCTGGAGGAAAATGTCACTGAAGTCCCCGCCCCACTTTTGCGCTTTGGCAGTAAAACGTCAACCATGCACATTGGGTTTGTTTTTTTCTTTGCTGTTGAGAGTTCAGCCCATGAATAACTGAGTAAAAATGTCAAAATCACTTTGCTCCAATGTCTCTCCTTCATAAGCGAGAAAACCCTTGGGACCCTACAATTCACTGGCTTTTGATTAGACTGAGGGCTTGGACAGGTAAGCTCAAAATTCACTTTCTCCATGCTGGACTTCACTCAGAAAAGTGACAGGATTTACAGGCACATAAAACTGTCCCAGAGATGCTCCCCAGAATTAACATGTATGAGCTTGAATAACTTCCTGCTCCTTTGAGAACTTTCCAGGTGCTCTTTTGTGGCCCAAGAGACCAAGGCTCACCTCTGCTGTGTCTGGACATCCATGACCAGGGAGATGTAACCCTCAATGAGAGAAAAGGAGAAAAAGCGAATATGTCCCGAGTCTTCGTTGCCCACCACCGAGTCTTTTACTCTGAAGAGACAGTAGAGAACAGCGTTAACTGCAGCTGGAAGGGTAAAATAAAGCTTTTAAAGCAGATCTAGCCACTGAAATCAGAGATGTTCATACGCTGACTTAGGGAAGAGACCCGACTCCTGTTATATTATACTGCTTCTCCTGTTTTGGTTTTGTATGGGAAAAAAATACCTGCCCCTCCACTCCTGACAAAACTCTCCGGTCCCTACCCCAAGCATGCTCCTCCAGCAGGAGGTCTTTGGCAAGCATGGGTCCCCAGCTTTCTCCATGCTGGCCCAGCATGCCTGCTGTATGTGGGCCAGCCGTCCAGCCCGCACTCCATCCGGGTGGCACGTACGCATTTGCAGCACATGGGTTGCATTGCTACTCTTAGCTTAAACCTGCAGAGGCTCAGCTTTACAAAGCCGGCAAACACCTTTGGGCACTCTCAGGTCTTACTTGGTGTCCACCTGGCAGGACTCCCCTCTCAGGCAGGTGAATACACCCTTCCTAAGCGCAGGACACCCCAACGCCACAGTTGATCCCTGGATATCTTGAAGCAGCAGTGGAAAGCTGTGTCTTGAGACACTGCCCGCACCTCCCCCAGGAGCCTCGCTCCCTGGCATGACATACCCATTGGAGTAAAACATGACATCCATTAGGAGTGTAGCAACAGTGGGAAGGGTATCTGGATCCAGGCTGGTGACGCAGAACATATTACTTGGACTGGAAAGGGGATGAATGACAGGCCTCTGAACTGCAAGAGACACGCAGACACACACAGCTATGAAGCCAAGTCTGCCCCAGGTTCACGTCCCAACAGACATTCGTTAGCCATGCACTAGCAGCATCTGCCGAGAAAGCTGAGAGATGTTTGTGAGTTCAACTGCACGAGAGATGGAAGGAGAAATTTCCTGCTAGGAACCAGCTTTGAACTGCTGATGCCTACAGACCGTCCCTCTCCCTCCTTGGGAAGGCGAGGGTGCAACCCGGGAGTCCTGTGGCACGTCCCCGGCAAGAAGGTGCTTGAGCGGCCTCAGGTGCTAGGGAGAGCATGGAGGAAAGGGTGAGCTTTGGATCCCTGAACACTGTGCGTGGCCTGTGCACGACTTTTAAGAGCTATTTGAACTGTAAGGCTCGAGGATAGCGTGCAGTGCAGAGGGATGGGTTCCCTCGCCGAGCGAGTACGCGACGCCTGCCATTTACTGTTGCCAAAGGCTGGCGCAGCCCCAGCCTGGCCCTCTGCAGGCTCACACACCTGCCTGCCTCCCACACTGAGGAGCCTGGTGGCCAACCTGCCCCCCGGGTTGGGCTCACGGGCGTATGGGGTGAAGCCACCCGCAGCACCCTACCCAGCATGGGGAATGGTCGGCTCTCTGCTCACAGGGGCTTTCAAGCCAGCAGGTGCATCCACACGACACAAGGGATATCTACGGGAGGTGGCAGGATAAATGGAAGAGCAGATACACTTAGGCTTCTGCCGTTTAAAGGCAGGGGTATGGAAGGCATTTCCCTGCTTGGCTGTTGGCAGTCTAAACCTCTGAAAGCAAATGCAAAAAATCCAGGTGTCCATCTCAAAATACTGGCAAGATGGAAACAAAAAATGGCATTTTTGTGGAAAACTGTCAGTTTGCTTAACCCTGAAAGGAATTCCTCACCTAAGGATGGGAGACTCAGCTGTATCCCCTTTTCCACTGCCAGCCGTGCCCGCTCACCGCAGGAGGAGCGCTTGCTCTCCGCAGAAGAGCAGTGCGGTGCACCACGGGGGAGGGAAGGATCAGACCCCTGGCCCCTTACACAAAGCTGCCCCTTTTCCTCTCCTTCTTCAAGGAGGAACAACATCTACAAAAAATCAAAACCGCCCCTTGTGCAGTGGCTTTGGAAAAACACGCCCGC